GTTAGTTTAGGGTTAGTTTTAGGGTTAGGGTTGGGTTAGGGTTAGGGTTAGGGTTGGGGCTTAGTTAGGGTTAGGGTGTTGTTTTTTTTATTGTAACCATCCAACCATCCTACCATCCTACCATCCTACATCCTAACCATAACCCAAGCTGAGGTGAGTTGAGGTGAGCTAAAGTGAGATGAGGTGAGCAGACGTGAGCTGAGGTGAGCTGAGGTGAGTTGAGCTGCTGAGGTGAGCTGAATTGAGATGAGGTGAGTTGAAGTGAACTGAGGTGAGCTGAGGTGAGTTAAGATGAGCTGAGGAGAGTTGAGGTGCGTTGAGGTGAGCAAAAGTGAGTTGAGGTGAGCTGAGGTTAGCTGAGGTAAGCTTAGACGAGCTGAGGTGAGTTGATGTGAGTAAAGGTGAGCTGAGGTGAGCAGAGTTTAGCTGGGTTGAGCTGAGGTGAGCAGAGTTTAGCTGATGTGAGCTGAGGTGAGTTTAGTTGAGCTTAGGTTAGTTAGGTTAGTTAAGGTGAGTTTAGGTGAGCTGAGGTTAACTGAGGTGAGCTGAGGTGAGTTTAGATGAGTAGAGATGAGCTGAGGTGAATTTAGGGGAGTTGAGGTAAGTTTCGGTGAGCTGATGTGAACTGAGGTGAACTGGTATGTGCTAATGTGAGCTGAGGTGAGCTGAGGTAATTTAAGTTTAGCTGAGTTAATTTAAGGTGAGTTGAGGTGAGTTGAGGTTAGTTGAACTGAGCTTAGGTGAGTTGAGGTGAGTTGAGGTGAGCAAAGGTGAGCTGAAGTGAGTTGAGGTGATTTAATGGGAGCTGAGGTGAGTTGGCTGTGCTGAGATGAGCTGAGGTGAGGAGAGGTGAGCTGAGGTGAGCTGAGGTGAACTGAGTTGAGCTGAGGTGAGTTTAGATGAGTAGAGGTGAGCTGAGGTGATTTTAGGGGAGTTGAAGTGAGTATCGGTGAGCTAAGGTGAGCTCAGGTGAACTGATGTGAGCTAAGGTGAGCTGAGGTGAGCTGATGTGAGCTGAGGTGAGCTGACGTGAGCTGAGTTGAGGTGAGCTGAGGTGAGCTGAGGCGAGCTGAGGTGAGTTGAGGTGAGTTGAGGAGATGAGATGAGCTGAGGTGAGATGAGGTGAGCTGAGGTGAGCTGAGGTGAGTTGATGTGAGCTGAAGTGAGGTGAGCTGAGGTGTGCTGAGGTGGTGAGGGGAGGTGAGCTGATGTGAGCTGAGGTGAGCGGACGTGAGGTGAGTTGAGGTGAGCTGAGGTGAGCTGAGGCGAGCTGAGGTGAGTTGAGGTGAGTTGAGGAGTTGAGATGAGCTGAGGTGAGTTGAGGTGAGCTGAGGTGAGCTGAGGTGAGTTGATGTGAGCTGAAATGAGGTGAGCTGAGGTGTGCTGAGGCGAGCTGAAGTGAGTTGTGGTGAGTTGAGGTAAGGTGAGGTGAGATGAGGTGAGCTGAGTTGAGTTGAAGTGATTTTGGTTAGTTGAGGAGTTGAGGTTAGCTGAGGTGAGCTGAGGTGAGTTGAGGTGAGCTGAGGTGAGTTGATGTGAGCTGAAGTGAGCTGAGGTGAGTTGAGATGAGTTGAAGTGAGTTGAGGTGATCTGAAGTGAGTTCAGGTGAGCTGAAAAGAGCAGAGTCTATTTAAGATGTTTTGGGGTATGTTGATGTGTGTTGAGGTGAGCTGAGGTGAGCTGACGTAAGTTGAGTTGAGTTTAGTTTAGCTGAGGTGATCAGAGATGAGCTGATGTGAGCTGAGTTGACCTGATGTGAGTTGGAGTGAGCTGAGGTGAGCTGAGTTTAGCTGAGCTGAGCTAAGCATAGCTGAGTTGAGCTTAGGTTAGTTAGGTGAATTGAGGTGAGCTGAGGCGAATTGGGGTGAGCTTAGATGAGCTGAGGTGAGCTGAGGTATGCTGAGGTGAGCTGAGGTTAGCTGAGGTAAATTAAAGTAAGTTAGGGTGAATTGAAATTAGCTGTAGTGAGTTGAAGTGAACTGAGGTGAGCTGAGGTGAGTTAAGATGAGCTTAGGTGAGTTGAGGTGAGCTGAGGTGAGCACAAGTGAGTTGAGGTGAGACAAAGTGAGTTGAGGTGAGTTAAGGTTAGCTGAGGTAAGTTGAGGCGAGCTGAGGTGAGTTGATGTGAGTTGAGGTGAGCTGAGGTGAGCAAAGTTTAGCTGGGTTGAGCTGAGGTGAGCTGAGTTTAGCTGATGTGAGCTGAGGTTAGCTGTGATGAGTTTAGCTGAGCTGAGATGAGCTGAGGAGAGCAGAGGTGAGCTGGGGGAGCTGAGTTGACCTGATGTGAGTTCATGTGAGCTGAGGTTAGCAGACGTGAGCTGAGGAGAACTGAGGTGAGTTTAGTGGAGCTGAGATGAGCTGAGGAGAGCTGAGGTTAGTTAGGTGAGTTTAGGTGATCTGATGTATTGAGGTGAGCTAAGGTGAGTTGAAGTGAGTTAAGGTGTTGAGGTTAGCTCAAATAAGCAGATGTTACCTGAGATATGACCTGAGTATAGTAAGTTTAGCTGAGCTCAGGTGAGCTGAGATGAGTTGGGCTGAGTTGAAGTGACCTTTGTTCTAGCTGGGGTGAGCTAAAGTGGGCTGAGGTGAGTTGAGACGAGTTGAGGTAAGTTGAGGGGAGCTGAGGTTAGTTGAGTTGAGATAAGATGAGCTGAGTTAAGCTGATTTGAGCTGAGGTGATTTGAGGTGAGTTGAGGTGAGTTGAGGTGAGCTTAGGTGAGTTTATGTAAGCTTAAGTGAGCTGAGCTCAGTTGAGGTGAGCTGAATTGAGCTGATGTGAGCTGAGTTGAGTTGAGGTGAGCAATAGTGAACTGAGATGAGCGGAGGTGAGTTGAGGTGAGGTGAGTAGAGTTGAAGTTAGTTGAGGTGAGCTGAGGAAAGCTGAGGTGAGTTTAGGTGAGTTGAGGTGATTTGAGGTGAGCAGAGATGATCTGAGGTGAGCTGAGTTTAGCTGAGGTGATTTAAGGTGAGCTAATGTGAGCTGAGGTGAGCAGAGGTGAGTTGAGGTGAGCTTAGGTGAGTTGGGGTGAGCTGTGGTGAGTTGAGGTGAGCTGAGGTGAGCTGAGGTGAGTTGAGGTGAGCTGAGGTGAGCAGAGGTGAGTTGAGGTGAGCCGAGGTGAGCTGAGGTGAGCAGAGGTGAGTTGAAGTGTGTAAGTGTGAGTTGTAGTGAGTAGAGGTGAGAAAAGGTATTGAGGTTAGCTCAAATGAGCAGAGGTAACCTGAGATGAATTAAGGTGAGTTTATGTGAGCTCAGGTGAGCTGAGATGAGTTGAGCTTAGTTAAGGTGAGCTGAATTGAGCTGAGGTGAGCTGAGGTGAGTTGAGGTGAGCTAAAGTGAACTGAGGTGAACGGATGTGAGTTGAGGTGAGCTGAGTAGAGTTGAGGTGAGTTGAGGTGAGCTGAGGTAAACTGAGGTGAGTTTAGGTGAGTTTAGGTGAGTGTAGGTGAGCAGAGATGAGCTCAAGGTCAGCTGAGGTGAGCTGAGTTCAGCTAATGTGAGTTGAGGTGAGCTGAGGTCAATTGATGTGAGCTGATGTGAGCTGAGGTGAGCTGAGTTTAGCTGAGGTGAGTTAAGGTGATTTGAGGTGAGCTGATGTTAAATGAGGTTAGTTTAGGTGAGTTGAGGTGAGCTGAGGTGAGTTGAGTTGAGCTGAGGTTAGTTGAGGTTATCTGAGGTGAGTTGAGGTGAGCTGAGGTGAGTTGAGTTGAGTTGAGTTAAGGTGAGTTGAGGTAAGCAGAGTTGAGCTGACTTGAGCTGAGGTGAGCCGAGGCTAGTTGATGTGAGCTAAGGTGAGTTTAGGTGAGCTGAGTTGAGCTGAGGTGAGTTGAGGTGAGCTGAGGTGATCTGAGGTGAGTTGAGGTGAGCTGAGGTGAGTAGAGGTGAGCAGAGTTGAGCTGAGATGAGTTGAGGTGAGCGGAGGTGAGTTGAGGTGAGCTGAGGTGAGTTGAGGTTAGCTGAGGTGAGCTGAGGTGAGTTGAAGTGAGCTGAGGTGAGCAGATGTGAGTTGAGGTGTGTTAGTTTGAGTTGAGGTGAGTTGAGGTGAGCTGAGTTGAGCTGAGGTAAGCGGAGGTAAGTTGAGGTGAGTTTATTTGTGCTGAGGTGAGCAGAAGTGAGCTGAGAAGAGCTGTGTTGACATGATGTGAGTTGAGGTGAGCTGAGCAGAGTTTAGCTGAGGTGAGCTGAGGTGAGCTGAGATTAGCTGATGTGAGCTGAGGTGAGCTGAGGTGAGTTAATTTGAGCTGAGATGAGCTGAGGAGATTTGAGGTTAGTTATGTGAGTTGAGGTAAGCTGAGGTGTTGAGGTAAGCTGAGGTGAGTTGATATGAGTTAAGGTGTTGAGGTTAGCTCAAATTTTCAGGCGGAAAGAAAAAAGGACGCGAGGGAAAGTTATTCATGGAGGATAATAATATTTTTTTAAACAATATTTAGTTACTTCGCGGGCTGCAAAGTGTGTGCTGACGGGCCGCATGCGGCTCACCGGCCATATTTTGTGAAAGGGCTGGCTTAGGATAAAATATAAAAATATATTTTCATAAACAAGTATTTGTTCAGGGAAGACTATAAAGTAGAAGCGAACCACATCTCAGGAAGGTGACATGGTCGAATTCGTTGAACGAAACAAATTTATACGGCCGTGTTTGTTTGAAGTGTACTTTTTAACCAATCCCAGCGTCTACCCATTCGCTTTACTATCGACTAAAAATGAGACGGTAAAAATTAAATTTAAAGCAGTTTTAACATGAACGTGGGCTCATCGATTTTACTGACAAGCGGAACTTTTATCAAATGACGTCATCAACTCTCGAACCAAATGTTTCAATTAAAAAATCTGCACATCGGTTACGTCAGCACGACCCTTTCCTTCCCCATCCGCCCCTCCCCAAATCTAGAATATAATGTTTGAGTAACAGTGTTGAGCTCTGGATAAAACAAACGATGGCAGATTAAACCTTTTTTTTTTTCCACTGCACACCTGACAAAAAAACAACATCGCATGTGGGTTTTTTGGTGTTCATTAGTTATGTTTATTTATCCTATGATCTCCTGGTCTTTGGTCAGCTGTAAGATCAAGCCGTCGCCCGGTCCCAGCTTCAGGCTGGTCAGCTGGACCGTGTCGCCCTGTGCGATGCCGACCACACCTGTAGGGTGTCAAATGAACATGATGCTACCGTACAATATTACGATGGGTAGGACACAGTAATATTGTGAGGTGAACTAGGACACATTCATATTGTGAGAGGGGCTAGGACACAGTTATCTTGTCATATGGGCTAGGATGGGCTAGGACACAGTCATTTTTGTGAGATAGGCTAGGACACAGTCATCTTTTGAGATGGGCTAGGACACAGTTATCTTGTGAGAGAGGATGGAGTCATCTTGGGGGCTAGAACACACTTATCTTGTGAGATAGGCTAGGGCCTAGTTATCTTTTGAGATGGGAAAGGACATTTTTATTTTGTGGGATAAGCTAGGACTAAGTTACATTGTGAGAAGGGCTATTTGATTGGGTCTAGGTTGTGTTAGTAACTTATTATGTGTCACATTTTACGTATAGAAAATACTTTACAGTTAAAATGGACAAAGAATGACACTGTAACATTATCATTTTTGATATACTTTTCCATTATCGACTATGACACAATTGTGTCCACTTACTTGGTGTAACAGCCTTTGCAGTCCCTGCTTGCCCGTCATTTGGGGACAGATCGACCGTTGCCGCTTTCCCAAAGTTGAGGACAACCAGGAATCTCTGGTCGCCGAATTCTCGTACGTAGGCATACACGTCATCTGTGACCAACAGAGGCTGACGACATGTAACATGATTAAAATGGAATTAGTCAGACGTCACATTGTACAAGTCTCATTTCTAATCATAACACTCGCATCTCATATCGTAACACTCACAGCTCATATCGTAACACTTGCATCTCTTGCATAACACTCGAATATCTCATTGTAACAGACTCGCATCTCTTATCGTAACACTCGCATCTCATATCGTAACGGTCACATCGCGTATAGTAACACTCGCATCTCATATGCTAACAGACACATCTCGTGTCATAACACTCGCGTCCCATATCGTAACAGACACATCTCATATCGTAACGCTCGCATCTCATATCGTAACACTCGCATCTCATATCGTTCGTAACACTCGCATCTCATATCGTAACACTCGCATCTCATATCGTAACACTCGCATCTCATATCGTAACACTCGCATCTCATATCGTAACACTCGCATCTCATATCGTAACACTCGCATCTCATATCGTAACACTCGCATCCGATATCGTAACACTTGCATCTCATATCGTAACACTCGCATCTCATATCGTAACACTCGCATCTCATATAGTAACACTCGCATCTCATATCGTGACGCGCGCATCTCATATCGTAACACAGACATCTCTAAAGAATCGTAATGAAGGTTCATGACCATGTACTCCTTTAAAAAGCAGATCAAGAACAGAAAAACTGTTGTCTGAACACAAACAATACGTCAGCTGCAAATGGCATGTAGGATTAAGGCAATTTGAATGTTTGACGAACTTACCTTGAACGTGCCTTCCTGGAACGCCTTGTTCCGTCTGATGGCCACCAACTGTTTGTACAGTTTGAGACTCGTCTGTCCTGGACCCTCAGACTGAATCTGAAAAGGAAAAAAGAAAAAAAAGAAATGAGGATAAAATGACGACACGTGTCTCTTGACGTCACATGACATTGAGATCACGGGTCATTGATGTCGCTAGTCATTTGCGTCACAGTTCATTGACGTCAGACGTCATCGACGTCACTTTTCATTGACGTCACATGGCATTGACTCACAGGTCATTGGTATACCCAGTTGTTGAAGTCACAGGTAGCTCTAACACTATTGACCCAAGCCGCTTTTATGATAATAATTCAAACACCAGTACCAACTTTGCGTCACTTCACTGATAAATTAAATCTGACGATAGCTAAAATGATAAGTCACACCATTTCCCACCTTCACGTTGTGTACTGTGTAATTCACGCCGAGGGGTAGCCACGTACTGTTCCCAGTGGTGAAGCCTGCTTGAGGACCATCGGTCCACTGCATGGGAGAGCGTTCTGGATCTCTCGAAACGTATTGATAACGATCCTAGATCAAATAGTGCAACAAAAAAATTATAGTTATTAATAAGGGAGCTAACATCATAATTTGAACTGGGAAAAACAACACGATAAAATCCCCTTAACACATTTAAAAAATTTTTTTAAAAAGTATTTAGACTATGACAATATTTGGAAAATTCTCGGAGTGGGTAAAATTTCTTGGCTCGTTTTGAACAGTAAATACATAATTTAAGCAATCTTTACTCCAGTAGACCAGGCCTGCACAATTCAAAATGTAAGGCGGGCCGTAATACTTTATGAAAAACGTGAGCGGGCCAAAATAAAATAGAACAGGACCTGTGCGGGCCAAATGAAAATAGGAAAGGGGAGAAGCTATTAAGAAAATAATAAAAATAAAGAACATTTTCTTACCTCGCGGGCCGCAAAGTGTGTGCTGGCGGGCCACATGCGGCCCGCGGGCCGTGTGTTGTGCAGGCCTGCAGTAGACGATTTCTGTAAATCCGACGTAAACTACTTTTTTGTGTTATTTTACTGCAGCTCATTGCACTCGCGAAATGCATTGGGGAGTGGGGGGGGAGAGTAGGGTGTAGGGGTGCTTAAGTATTATATCTGTGACAACAGCTTGAATGTTCATGTTGTTAAGGAATACCTTCCATACGAATGCCTGGACGTTGCTTATCGTGTCAAGACCTTTTATAGCCCACGTGAATACGACTGACCTTTTTCCCGGAAGATGAGAAGCAGTAACGATACTAATCAAAATCTTCTTTTTCTTTTTTTTTCTCTAATTCCTCAAACCGACCACTCACCGGACCGTAGTTGAGCCCCCAGGGGTCCCGCGTCTCATTCCAGGACACCTCGGCCTGCAGCATGCCGATCTCCTCGCCGTAGTAGGTGGTGGGGGTCCCCCACAGCGTCAACAGCAGCATGTTGTACACGTCCACGTACGGCGCGCCGTTCCTCTTGCTGACCCTTGTGTTGTCATGGTTACCGAGCTGGGGGGTCATAGAAAATGGATGAACTCATCAGGTGAGCGGCGACACAAATATTTTGCTTTAAGAAGCCGTCATGAGCATTTAAGAGGATAAAGGGTTTTGCTAAAGCGTCACTGGGGAAAAAATAAAGGCCGCGTTAGGCATCAGCCCTGGTGATCATGATGTATTTATAGCTCAAGGGGAAACTCCGGAAATCAAAAAGATCATGCACAAGGCTAACATAAACGTTGTTCAAAAAATATTTCATGAATGATCTTTTAATGTCAGCCCGCTGGCACAAGGATAAGTTTGACTGTCTCGAAAAAGCTAATAGGGAGAGCACGGGTTCTCAAAATTTTATGAGTACAGACACCAATTTTAAGGAAGCAGAGTGGCACGCGACCAGCCACATTAAAATTAAAGTTATAAGTTTGAGGCGTAGCACATGGAAAAATAAATGCCATTCATCATTAACTAACATATCAATTTAAAAATAAAAATTTCATCATGTTCACGACATTTGTACTTTTTAACTTTCCAGTTTGGTCCCTCACACAAAAAAAAAAATGTAAGGCCTCCGTGACCACATGGTTTGGGAATTCATTAGGGGGGGTGGGGGGTGGGGGTCTGTTTCTTCCTCATCTTTGGGCAAAATGATCGGATGGGATGGATTATTTTAGTCAAGAGAGGAGGTGAACCTCAGACACCGAAGTCGTGTTAGAAGACAGCAGCCGTAATCGGTTTGGACTTAAAATTCGGCGTTGTCCTCCTTAAAAAAAAAAAATTTTGAATTCTGAACCGGATGTAGTTAATTACTTACTTTTTTCTATCCCAAGTTAAACTTCCGGTTAAAAAATCCAGAGCAATAAACACAATCATCAACAAAAAAAAACAACAACAACAAAAACTTGATAGCCCCCCCGTGTGTGATTTTTATTTACATATATTTTTTCACAAGGGACATCTACTTTATTATGGGTCAGCCGGGAAAACGAATTTACCTCCTCCATCAGACACAATTACATTATCTAATATTACCATTAGAAGACAGCCCCCCCCCCCAAGAGACTTGTATATTTCCCAATGGCGGGCCCTTTCGCTCCAAGAAGGTTTCAACTCAAATCGTTTTGATAAATTATTTATCTCCCACGAAATTTCATATACAGCAAGAGCTTTTGAGCGGGGGAAGGAGGGAGGGTCAAAGTGAAATGACTTGGCGGCTTTCTTATTGATATATCCATAGTGATGATGGAAAAAAATAAATATGCTTGACCGCATAAGAAAAATGGCTTGACGTTGCGCAACCAATTCGCACAAAAATCCCATGGAATCGAAGGTTGTATTGTTGGAGTAAAGGAGTGGAAGTCGTAATCCAACCCAGTAAACATCGGATGTCTCTAAAAGTCAGACTGGATTCCAACAACAGAAATAAATAACAACTGCGTGAATTTTTGTTTTTTTTGTTTCTTGCTGCCTTGACGTTCAGAGTGGTTTCGGTTTAGCTTACACAGATCGTAACAGAAGTTTAAATTATGTGCTGTAAAACGACTCCAGGACTTGAATGTCACTTCCCATCTGGAGATCGAATACGAAATTCGAGTTGAAACACCCTCCTCCCTCTTCCATCCCCCCGCCACCTCCAAAACAAAAAGAAAAAATGCTCCACTCGTTCAAATGGTGAGTGGTTTTTGTCCTTACCACAAATTTTGGCCACTTCCTATTGGAGACAAATCGGCCCATTCTTTCTTAGTTACAAAATAAAAAATGCTAGGGTGGCCCAACCCAAATGGCTTCACGGGCCACTTTGGTCACTGATTGACTGGATTTCATTTTTGGCACACACCTGACTTTAGTTTCGTATATAACTCTACACCTAACAGAAGAGCAACAAAAGAACAACATGGGTGCAACAGAAGAAATGCTGCAGGAAATTTGCAGGCGTCCTTGACCTGTACGTCCTGATATGAAACCTTTAATTTGTATAGTTAAAAATTTTTTAGAAGTGTTTTAAAATATCTATTTAAATTTGAGATAACTAATGTGACTCTCTTTTAATCAGCCCGAAAGAAGGGGGGACAAAAAAAAAGGGGGGGGGGAATCAAACCAACACGGCGCTTACCATGGCGAAAAAACGTGCATTACGTAATTTTTTTTTTAATGTCATTTTTTGGAAAGAATGAAAATGAAGCTAAATTACGTGAAGAAATACGTTCATGTGCGACCGATAGAGCCGGCGAGTAACAAAAAAATAATAATCTGGCGGGCCATGGTTGGCCTCCCCTGTTATGAAGTGTCCCTTCCCGCTTTTGCCATAATGACGAAATTCACTTTCCACAAAGTGTGGCTACATCGAACAAACGTTCTGTGACTACCTTCTAGACCAGTGGTTCTCACCCTTCCCCCAAGCCGCGACCCTTTAATACAGTTCCTCGTGCTGTGGTGAACCCAAAATGTAAAACTATTTGTATTTCTACTTCATAAACATGTGTCTTACAATGGTCTTAGACGTCCCTTGTGTAAGGGTCGTTCGACTCCCCCCCCACACCCCAACGGGGTCGCGACCCACATGTTGAAAACAGCTGTGCTAGACAAATCGTCCAGATCACTTACCAACAAGTGGTGGCTACTTTTAATAATAATATCCCACTACCTTCTAGAAAGAGTGGCCAGATCACTTACCACGAAGTTCGGCCACTTCCCGGGCAGAATGTCATTGTAGTCGGCCATGATCGTCCTGTTGATCTCCTGCGGCTTGGGCGGCCGGCTCATCTGCAGGAGGTCGAAGTTGAAGGGGTTCGCCTCGCCTTGGGAGTAGAGGACGTTGCGCTGCTCGTGCGTGGCGTACGTCTCCAGCACCATGTACCTGAACGACACGACGGGGGTCGAACGTGATATATAATCTTAACAATCTGAACTGACATGGACGTTAGCCTTTTTGTGTTAACTCATCTGTTTGCTAACATATAGACTATATAAATATATATGTTTTCAAGATTTGCAAACAAGACATATACAAAACGATTTCCATACAAGCCAAGAAAACTTAAAGCTGAACGGCAATTTAATCGTTTTTTTCGGGAACTGAGATGATGTCTTCCTCAATACAAAACTTCTAGCAGTTTTGGTGTGCCCCAAGCTCCACCCCCCCCCCACCATTCCAGCCCCCCCCCCCCAATTGAAATACAAGTGCGCAAACATCCATACACCAAGCCGATTCTTTGTCCCGTTTTTAACCCCGAGCCCCAAGAATCCTTGCATTTTAAGTAAAGGAAGATTAATTATAACTGGGAAAATAAGAAGAAGATGATGTTGATATTAAATGCAAGTAAAATATTTTAATACACAACATAAGTGAGGGTTTTTTCCTTACTAAGCATTCGGGCAAAAATCAGATAACGGCTATATATATATCAAGCTATAGATGACAAAAAAACTTCCTATGTCTGCTTACACATGACAGGTGTCTCAAGCCGTTGATCTAAGGGTCTGTGAACTTACCGCTCTCGTCCGTCCTGCTGGGTGTACTCGTCCAGGAGGTCGTACCATCCTTTGATGATGGGGACCAGCTCCGGCTGGTGCTGTGTGTACACGTGGATGACGTAGTCGTCCTGGTACTGAAAAGATGGGAAGGGGGTGGGGGTAGATTCAACATAAATAATCCATCAGTGCAACAGCTTCACGGGATCAATGACGCGAAGGGATGTTGGCTGATAAAACAGTGTGAACACGATCAGTTTGTTCGCAGCTGACAGGCTAGCAAATTTTTTAAAAGGCTGATTGAAAAAAACTTCCCGACAACCTATCGAGCTGAAACTTGGCACATAGAATCGTTGCTGATGACAACACATGCTATCAAATTTTCGGCTCCAAACCCCCAAATTACGTTTTTCCTGATTTTCAAGGGGAAGGAAATATGATGACACTGGTTTCGCAAATAACATTCCCGATAAGTGCGCAAAAGGAGATTATTAACGAAAAATATAGCGCAAGTGCGTTTTGTGCATACTATTTTCCTTTGTTTTTCTGAACTAGTTGGTGAAATAAATCTGCCACGTAAAAGAGGGTGGGACATTAGAATATCAAAATAAAATAAAATAATAAAAAGTGCATATAAACATGGGCTGCAGTGCCACTGATGATGATGCATAACAAGGATTTTTGCGAAAAACTTTGTTTTTATGGGTTGTTTGATTTCATGTGTGTTAGTCACGTGTGCCCAACCTTTATTTCTGTTACTTATTGGGTAGGATTTCTATATTATGTAAAGTGTATTTTACATTCATGCAATCTGTGGTGTTGTCTTACTAAATAAAAGGCATTAACTGCATCGTCTTAAACTATCGATTCATATTGAAACTAAACTCCGCACATTTACTGTTTTACTTGAACAAACCATTTTTTTTAAGCGTTTACTAACCTTCTCCGAGATGCGCTATGAACGGCATCTCTTCCTTTAAACATTCCCAGTTCATATCAGTGGTCCTGAAAGCTTTGATCGATTACAATGTAAAGCCAGACTAAACTATACACTAAACTATTTCCACTGACGTAGGAAAGGGGAATGGGGGTGCTGAGGGGATGATTCGCTCCCTGGGGCACTTTTTTCTTCGTACTGGGCGGTGCCATTTTAGGTCAAATGCAGACTAGACTTTTTTTCTTTTAAAAGGGAAACAAAAACCTTTGCCCACCCACGGGCATTATCCCTAACTACGCCGCTGCCTATTCCAACACTATTTAATAAACCTAACCGAGAGAAATGTTTGATAAAACAAAAATTGACTAAAATCAATTGATCCTCCAACACACCGTCGTCTATTTTTGCCCTAATACCTTTCACAAATCCTCTTGAACCAGTTCATAACAAAGAGGCGTTTATTATTTTCAAATGAAGATTCAATTAAGTGCCACACTAACCAGCGGCACGTCCTTGCCAGACAAAGGCTCGTCCCACGAGAGGTTGGCGACTGTTACCATGTTCGGGACGGCGTCTGCACGGAAGCCATCGACGCCCAGGTCCAGCCAAAACCGTAAAAGGCTCTTTAAAAAGAATAAGTCATAATGTTAGATAAAAAAAAGTCTGCTGAATCATTTTTTTTAATAAAGTTTTAAATTTGTTTCTCCTGTTTCTTTTTTTCAGAAAGAGGCTTTGAATTATTCTATACCAAGATTTTGATTGTCACGGACAGTTAAGGGTGTCAGGGACTTTCAGGGGCGTCAGGGGCAGTAAGGGGTGTCACGGACAGTCAGGGGTGTCACGGATGTGTAGGGGTGCCAGGGAGACTTAGAGGTGTCAGAAACTGCCAAGAATGTCCGGGACACTCATGCTTGTCAAGGACATGTAGAGGTTTCAGGGACATTTATGGGTTTCAGAAACTGCCAAGGATGTCAGGGACAGTCAGTGACATGAAGGGGTGTCAGGGACAGTTAGACGTTTCAGTGACTGTCAAGGGTGTCAGAGACAGTCAGGTGTGTCAGGGACATGTAGAGGTTTCAGGGACAGTTAGGGTTTTTAGAAACTGCCAAGGATGTCAGGGGCAGTCAGTGACATGTAGGGGTGTCAGGGACAGTTAGACGTGTCAGGGCCTGTCACGGACTGCCAAAACCTATCAGGGAATATCAGGTTTATCAGGAACTGTCAAGGACTGTCACAAGTTGAACATTGGATTTTTAAATAGTTTATAGAATTTGAATTGCCTCAGTAAAAAAAATATAAAAAAATATTGCAGTTAATCTACATACGTTAACGTGAGTTGTTGTTCGTCCGTCAAAATCGACTAGGACCATCGAGTCATCCCGTTATAGGGGAGGGTGGGTTAACTTAAAAACGTTTAACCCCCTGTCATATATAAGAGTCGTCACAGGATGGCAAGCCGTCGGTAGAACGCAAAACAGCCTCACATGTTCACCCCTCTACAGGTGACCCACTTTACCTTGAGCTCCCACTCGACATTCTCGTTCCTGTGATTCATCTCCGGTGCCTCCTTGATGAACACGTGATAGTAGTACTGTTGGCGCTCGTCGTTCCACTCCCACGCTGAGCCCCCAAACAATGACAGCTGAAATGGACACGACGCCCGTTACCCGGCTTGTTGTTTCCCACCACCCCCCTTCCCCCAAACAATGACAGCTGAAATGGACACAACCCCTGTTAGCTGACATGTTGTTCCCCCTCCCGTTCCCCGGCTTGTTGTTTCCCACCCCCCCCCTTCCCCCAAACAATGACAGCTGAAATGGACACAACCCCTGTTAGCTGACATGTTGTTCCCCCCCCCTTTTCCCCCAAACAATGACAGCTGAAATGGACACAACGCCCGTTACCGGCTTGTTGTTTCCCACCCCCCACCCACCCCCCAACCGAGCAAAGTTGAAAAAAATAAATATCAACTTTAATGATGTTGATTACGATTTTATAAAATGGTAATATGACAGGATGTTTAAAAGAATGGTTGTTTGAAGGGAATAAGAAAAACAAGTTTGCTTGGGTAGATGACATTTAAAAAAAAAAAATGTAATTCTTCTCTCTAACGATCTATTTCCACATTCCAACAGTTATTAATATCACGATCGCCTAAATTTTTAAGGGGGTTTGGGGAATCAGTGATAAATATATCGGTAATCCTGAAAGGAATTTTACGGATGTAAGTGTAAACGGACAAGATGTACAATAAAGATTTATGCAACCATTGAAATTTAAAATATATATAATTGATCTACATTTTTTTTAAAATTCGTTTTAATTTACTTATTATGATTTTGTTTGTTTTTTTTTATTTAAGAAGAAATTTATGATAAAGATTGTGTGTTCTTGAAATAAATATTCTTTGTTAATTCTTTGGACATAAATTTGATTGTGTGTGCTTTAGTCCATAATTTGTTGTTAATCCTTCAATGAAACCTTTATTCTTTTTTCTCAAAATTTTCTGTGTAAATTATACGCGATAGTGAACTGTGGCACACAAATGGTTTGTCGTTGACTTCGGCAAAAAAAACCTACACTTTTAATACTTCGTAATAAACCACACTACAAGACTGGCTGACCCAGTTGTTGATTGGGACCCTGGTTCCGTTAGGCAGGAGCTTCCCATCGTCCCACACGTAGTAGTCCGTGTACTTTCCGATGCGCTTGATGCTCTTCCGGAACCAGGTGTGCTGGTCGCTGGTGTAGCCAGGTACAAAGTCCACGATTAGCTTCAGACCTGAGTGTTAAGAGTGTTCGAATACTTTGAAAATTACTTGAAAGATCAGCATTCAAATGTTTTTTGTTTTTTTTTAAAATAAGGTTAATTCAATAGTTGTTAAAATAATATTTATTCGGCTAATGAGGCAGTTGTTAAAAAATAGAATTATTTGGTAGTTGTTAAAATAAGGCTGATTAATCCAGCTTTAATGACACTTGTGCCTACACCAGGTTAAAGACACTTACTTTAGCTCTAAAGACACTTAGGCCTACTCCAGCTTTAAGGACACATATGCCCACTCCAGCTTAAGGACACTTACTTTAGCTTTAAAGACATTTTATTCCCGCTTTTGTGCACTTACTCCAGCTTAAGGACACTTAGGCCTAATCCAAATTGAGGAAACTTACTTCAGCTATATTAGTTTTACTCCAGATTTTGCGCACTAACTCCGGCTTTAAAAAAATATTCTAGCTTAAGGACACTTACTCCAGATTAGAGATACTTAGGCCTACACGAGATTAAGGACACCATTTTCACTTAAGGACACTTACTCAAGATTCAGGACACTTACACCCTATAAAGGCGCTTACTCCAGATTAAAATCACTTATTTCATATTTAACGGCACTTATATCAGATTAAGGGCACTTTCTCCAGTATAACGCCTGAGTCTTTAGGATAGTGAAACACAAATATCTCTTACAGTCTAATGTAATTAAATGATTTGATTTCAAAATTTAAAATAAAATCGTTTTCCTGCTAAATTTTGTAATTATTTTAATACTGTTTGTTTGAAAGTAGGGGAATTATTCACTAGTTTAAATAAAGAGTAAAATGAGGTCAAAACCGTGGGGAAAAAAAAGAAACATTTGCCCTGATTTTAGACAAAGGCTCTTCTTAAAGTACAAGGGGAGTTGACTCACTTCTATTGTGGACCTCGTCCAGCAGGTCCTTGAAATCGTCCAGGTTACCGAAGATTGGATCGATATCCTCACCATCGGAGCAATCGTAGCCGAAGTCTTTCATGGGAGACCTGCATATTGGGCTGAGCCAGACGCAGTCGATACCCAGGTCTTTGAGGTAATCGAGTCTTGAAATAATTCCTGGGGAAAGAACATGATGTAATTCAGTGGCCGTGATGTCTCTGCATTGTCTGTACTCTCTGGGAAATTGCAATCCTGGGTAATGAATGGAGAGGGCTGAAATTGTATAATCATTTGTAGAATGGCCGATTTTTTATTTTTGTACTTGAAGATTAGAGACAGGGTACTACCAAATAAAGAGAAAAAAGGGGAGGGGGGAGAAGACGGGATTGTATACCAATAATAATACTAATCGCATGAGCCAACTGCGCACCCTTAGTGAAAATCTAAATTAGCATATTCGATGACCGATTGATGAACTATATATATATGTCACCCTTCCGTCATTTCGAGACCATAAAGTAGCTAGTGACACTTCATGACATAGCTCACCCTGGAATGACTGTCTCGGCTGCATTTCTCACAGGAGAACCTTGACTCCTGTTTAGACTTAGCCTTATCTTCTGCCTTTTATATATATATATATATATATATGCATATTAGATATGATATGTAACTAATTTACTAACGGTGCGTAACTAGTCATAAAAATGCCCACACCCTTGCACTTGTGTAAACTAAGTTTTACCAACACGTCAAACACCCTCAAAACAAATAGGCATAAGACTTGAGCCTCGATATCAAACGCGCTCTTGATCACGTGCCAGAATTAACGTAATTTTAGTTTAATATATATATATATATTTTATATCAAAGGTTAAATGAGTGCACTATCTTTTGATGAATCTCCTGCCCCCTTGTGGCTCTAGGAAGAAGGGGTGCTTGGGGGGGGGGGGTAGTCTGTATCAGACGGCTCGCTTTTTTGTTTCTCTTCTTTATATTGATGGTCAATATTTTCGTCCAACTGCATAGTTTTTTTTTGTTGTGGAATGGAAGGGGGTGCAGGGGGGAGTATGGCCAACCTGATCTGCACCAACTCTAGTTACGCCATCCAGTGCGCCGCTGAACGATCCTCCAGTATGAGACATTTTGAGCCATCTCTTAACAATCTGTAATTGTGTCTACATCAAATTCATTTTAAGAATTTTTTATATTTTTTTTGTTTAAAGTGTGATATATACAAACCCCTGAGATCTCCGACACCGTCGCCGTCCGAGTCTTGGAAAGATCGCGGGTAGATTTGGTAGAACACGGCCTTCTTCCACCAGGACAGGTCAGCGGCGGCGCGCTGGTCGTTGGCGCGAGTGGAGACCACGATTCCTTGAACGCGGCTCAACAGCACAATCGCAGACACAATCACGGACACAATCATTCCGCTTATTGCACGTGTACGCCTCATTGTTTTATGGACTACACAGATCGTGTGTTGTACAAAACGAAAAAGTCAAGTGTTCAAATAATTTTATAATTCAACAATGAATAGAAACACTCCTTTTTTTTAAATTTTGTCTTTGAAGAATAAGTAACACACAGTGTTTGTTGTCTTATGAAACAAAAATGTTCCTTTTTTGCTCCAGAGAGGTTTGTCTCTTTGTTTATCTGTGACACCAGTTATTGCCCTTGGCTGCTTGACCTCGGATACTTTTTTTTTATAAAAGGGGGGGAAAGTCTCAAATTTTTGGAATATTAATCAGCCCCGAGAAAGACAAAGTTAAAGATTAAGAAGATCTGTAACTTCTGCAATGTATTTTTTTAAACCCCTGTTTTCTCTAAGAAGAGGGTACTTTTGATTAGAGATCCCTACATTTTAATTTAGCTTTCAATTGTTATTTTTGTGTGCGTATGTACCGTCACTATGTATTCATACAGCGACTTCTTGACAGCCCTGCACACACAACTGGCCAGGCGAGGTGGGTTCACAAAGTTATTAGAAAGAGGACATTTTGGTTTGAAAGAAGCCATTACAAAAACAATTCAATTACATCTGCCATATTACAACCAGCTATGTGTGTGTGTGTGTGTGTTTGTAATAAATCTCCGTTAGCTATTTTAACTGGGACATCACGTGACCCAGGGGTCAAAATAGCTGTTATCGGTAGATGAGGTTAAATTGTGAACGAATGAGATCTTACAACAGACACATCAAACAGGCTTAGTCGTTGAAAACTGTTCCTTAAGACAGTATAGAGAAATAGCAAAGTAAGTCTTGGGTCCGCCTGTGTAGTCTTATCAGTTCATCCGCATAGCTGAGGTCATACGTCTCAAACACATGTTTAGCTGGAGCTAAAGGTTCTCAACCTCCCTAACGCCGCGAACCTTTAATGCAGTTCCACAATGGTGTGGTGACCCCCCCCCCCCCCCCACCAACCAAACAACCATAAAAATAAAATTCATAGCTGAGGTCATACGTCTCAAACACATGTGTAGCTGGAGCTAAAGGTTCTCAACCTCCCTAACGCCGCGAACCTTTAATGCAGTTCCACAATGGTGTGGTGACCCCCCCCCCCCCACCAACCAAACAACCATAAAAATAAAATTATTTCCGAGCCTACTTCATAAATATGTTTTTCCCGATTGTCTTGGGCGACCTCTGTGTAAGGGTGGTTTGACCCACCAGAAGGGTCTCGACGCACAGGTTGAGAATCGCTGAGTTAGAAAGAAATTTACAATACATTAACGTCTTTGCATGAGTTTAAATGTGGTGTAATTTTACGTTATTTTCTCCGGCTAAATTGCAAACTGCGTCAGATGTGTCATCTGCTAAAAGCCTACAATACACTTTTTTCAAATATTCGTAATCCTTATGAGAGTAAAACACGATTATCCTAAAGGAAAAAAAAACTGTCGAAGCATCCTTACGGTAATGCCAACGTACAGAAATGTCAATTTACAGAAATTTCAACTTACAGAAATTTCAACTTACAGAAATTTCAACTTACAGAAATTTCAACTTAGAGAAATGTCAACTTTTAGAAATGTCAACTTACAGAAATGCCAACTTAATGAATGCCCACGTACAGTAATGCCACCTTACAAAAATGCCGATTTACAGAAAAATAACCTACTGATATGTCGACTTACAGAAATGCCAATTTACAGAAATGCCAACTTACAGAAATGCCAAGTTACAGAACTGTCATAAATAAATTAAACGTCATTCCAGACGTGTTTTCTTTTTTTTTTTCTTTTCCATTTTGCCTGCCCAACATTTTAAATGAAGACCGTATATGGAATATTTAAGGTTATAATTTTTTTCTTCTTTTTTATTGAACAGAAGATCCTCTTTATAGCAATCATGATCAACGCGACTACTTAAGTTTAATGAAATGCCTCGCCGTGGGAACATTAAACACACGTTATAAAACGTGTTTATTGAACGTTCAAGAGTGTTTGTCTTGTTTTCGTTAGACATGTTTGTTTGTTTGTTTGGTTGGGTTTTTGTTTCGTTTCTAGCCATAAAGAAAAGACAGAATAAATATGAAGGGGAAAGATGACGCTTTAATTTTAAAATCTCATTTGAATTCTTTTTAAAAAAATGTGCTTTCTAAATGGAGGCTTTTAAAGTTTTTTTTTCTTTTTATTTATTTTAAATGGGTTTTAACAAAGAAAATATTATTTATGATCATTAAACTCGGTGTGTGGGTGTGAACGGGGTGTGGGTGTGGACAGAGTATGGATGTGGACGGAGTGTGGGTGTGGACTGAGTGTGGATGTGGTCAGAGCGTGAACGGGGTGTGGGTGTGATGGGAGTGTAGGTGTAGATGGAGTGCGGACGGAGTGTGGGAGTTGTCAGAGTGTGAACGGGGTGTGGGTGTGATGGGAGTGTAGGTGTGGACGGAGTGTGGGTGTGATTGGAGTGTAGGTGTGGACGGAGTGTGGACGGAGTGTGGGTGTTGTCAGAGTGTGGACGGAGTGTGGGTGTTGTCAGTGTGTGGACGGAGTGTGGGAGTTTTCAGTGTGTGGACGGAGTGTGGGTGTTGTCAGATTGTGGACGGAGTGTGGGTGATGTCAGTGTGTGGACGGAGTGTGGGAGTTGTCAGAGTGTGGACGGAGTGTGGGTGTTGTCAGAGTGTGGATGGAGTGTGGGTGTGGTCAGAGTGTGGTCGGAGTGTGGGTGTGGTTAGAGTGTGGACGGAGTGTGGGTGTGGTTAGAGTGTGGACGGAGTGATGGTGTTGTCAGAGTGTGGATGGAGTGTGGGTATGGTTAGAGTGTGGATGGAGTGTGGGTGTGGTCACAGTTTGGACGGAGTGTGGGTGTGGTCAGAATGTGGACGGATTGTGGGTGTTGTCAGAGTGTGGACGGAGTGTGGGTGTGGTCAGAGTGTGGACGGAGTGTGGGTGTTGTCAGAGTGTGGACGGAGTGTGGACGGAGTGTGGATGTGATCAGAGTGTGGATGGGGTGTAGGTGTTGTCAGAGTGTGGACGGAGTGTGGGTGTGGTCATAGTGTGGACGGAGTGTGGATGTAATAGGAGTGTTGGTGTGAATGGAGAGTGGTTGTGAACGGAGTTTGGGTGTGGTCAGAGTGTGAACGGAGTGTGGGTTCAGTCAGAGTGTGGACGGAGTGTGGGTGTGGTCAGAGTGTGGATGGAGTGTGGGTGTGGTCAGAGTGTCGACGGGGTGTTGGTGTGGTCAGAGTGTGGACGGAGTGTGGATTTAATAGGAGTGTTGGTGTGAACGGAGAGTGGTTGTGAACGGAGTATGTGTGTGAACGGAGAGTGGTTGTGAACGGAGTGTGGGTGTAATAAGAGTGTTGGTGTGAACGGAGCGTGGGTGTGGACAAAATGTGGGTACGAACCAGAGTGTGGCTGGAGGTTGGGTGTGGACGGAGATTGGGTGTGGAAGGAGTGGTTTTAAAAGGAGTGTGGACGGTGTTTTGGTGTGGGCGGAGTGTGGTTGTGGATATAGTGTGGGTGTGATGGGAGTGTGGGTGTTGGTGTGGATGGAGAGTGGGTTTTCAAGTTGATTTATTATTTGGTACGCTTTCACAAAGATATTGTAGGAAATTTTTTGGTGTGCTTTAGATTGGTTTATCGCAAAAATATCAATCAAGCTTTATACTAAGTGCGTTTAAAATTATTTGAAATAGTTTAGTTTTCATTAAAAAAGATAAGCTGTTTTAATGCAATCCATTTCTTTAAGTATGCGTTAATAACTGCTGTAAAATTCTAAGAAACTTCAACTCCATGCGTGGTATTAGGGGGGTGGAACATAAAGATTCAGATGTATTTAATGGACTTTGGAATAACTATAGTGTTTAACAATCATATCGGAATAAAAAATGATTTTACAATCATATTGGATATATCTGTTTTGAACAATGTATATAATAAATTTGTGGGGGTGGGGGGCCTCGTACGGAAATGGTATCCATCTTTTTCTATGGCAACAAAGAACTTTTTTTTTTTTTTCTACTACACCTGTAACGATACCATAGAAGAGCAGGCTGCAAATATTTTTTTTTTTATAGTGTTATAAGAGTGCTCATTAAGCTTGTAAATTTATCAAAATATATTCTGACAAGTAACATGTGTCTAAATTTAGTTTGGTGTAAACAAATCTATCACTAGAGACAATTAGACATTAGACTAATGTTAGAACCAATCAGTACAGAAATTAGACATGTGCTACAACCCACTAGTAGGACATTACAAAAGTGTTACAACCAATCAGTAGGACTTTAGACTAATGTTACAAAACAGCAGTAGAGACATTATACAAATGTTACAACCCATTAGTAGAGACATTGGAGAAAAGCTACAACTCATTAGTAGAGACACTGGACAAATGTTACAACTCATTAGTAGAGATATTGGACAAAAGCTACAACTCATTAGTAGAGACACTGGACAAATGTTACAACTCATTAGTAGAGATATTGGACAAATGCTACCGTCAGTAGTGATATTAGACAATTGTTTCAACCAATCTGTAGGACATTAGACAAATGTTACAACTAATCCATAGAGTCATTAGACAATCGCTACAACTAATCCATAGAGACATTAGATAAATGTTACAATGAGTACAAACCCGAGAGAATACGGGTATATTTGCTAGTATGTTATATAATCTACTACATTAAAAGTTATACGCTCCAGTAGGATACGTCTTAATGATAATCGACATCAAGTAAAGCCCTCGCATAGAGCAGCACGTCCACGGTCGACTTGTGGGGCCTTCCACACATGACAAGACACATCTGAGGGGGTGGGGGTAGGGTGGTCAAGAATTTGTGACTAGGCGGAACGTTGTGGAGGAGGGGGCAGTTCACCAGAATAGCGTGGCGTCATCAATTGCTAGCCCTTAGTCATAGACCAATTTATGATAAAGCATCAAATTATGATGAATGTCTTATGCGATTCATCTACAACTGCGATTCTCCCTCGGGGGGGGGGGGGGGGGGGGGGGCTGGCTAGGTGGTAAAGTGTCATTTCATGGCAGCTAAAGCGATATATGCACATGCAGTAAAAAAAAAATGTATGTAACGACTTTGTTTTAAGAAAGATGTTTTAATTGATACAACATCACAGAACGTATGAAAACCGCTGCTCTAAACTACACATAGCAACATATTCAAAGACGTTTTAGTTTGTACATTACACA